GACAAATGGCTAATCGGTCTGATTCCTAAAAAGACCTCTGTATCCTATTCATTCCAGTTCTAGTGTGTGACATAGTGACATGATTCAGTTGAGCACTAGTAGCAATCGCAGTGCGTTTTTTCTCTTTCAAAGTCTCTGAATGTGTTCAGCATTCGGAAAAGTCTTTCAGAAAAGGGTCAGCGAATCCAAAGTATGGGCGTTACTTGTTTCGCAGTATGAAGAGTAATTCAAATGTGTAATTGGTGAGCATTAAGTGAAACGTAAAGATGTAGTTTTGCGTGTATGATGATACAGCATGAATTCGATGACTATCTAGTCCAAAATACAATGAGTTTATTAACAAGCTTGCCCGAAACGTTTTACAACAACTTCACTTTAACCCTGTTTTTCTGGTATACACTCTAAAAAAAAAGGTACTTTAACGAACCTAAATAGTTTTTCATTTTTCTACCTACCGATTTTAGGTTCAGAAAAGTGGGAAAGGTTCCGTGTTTCATCTACTCAACTTAAAAAAGTTCCGTAAGATTGAAAAGGTTCGTCAGCTTACAGACAAAGCCTCACAAAGGTTTTTTATGCGGTACAGAAAACCATTGATAGTTCCGTAACCTGTCTACAGAGCCATCAATAGTTCTGCAGTCTGAAGAGAGGTTTCCTGTATTTTCTACCAAACCATCTCTGGTTTCGCACGTCATCAGATGGTTCAGATGTTCTTTTACGAAACCATCAAAGGTTCCTCAGTTTTCAGAAAGTTCAGAGTGTTTCTGACCGAACCAAGCATGGCTTCGTATGAACACAAACGGTTCAGTGCCGTTCGCCCGAAACCATTTTTATGTCAGCTAATCCTTAAAAGTTCAGTCAGATTTCTCCGAAACCTCTAGTGGTTCCGTAAATTTTTCACTGATCCCACTTAGTTCCGTATAATTTCTACGAATCTTTCAAAGCTCCTAAAATTCCTAAGAAGTTTAGCACATATCCCACGGAACTGCTAGTAGTTCCGCATATTCTCAGCTGAACCAGTGACAGTTCACTTATATGTGCCGAGGTTTAGTACAGTTCATACGGAACTTTCTGTGATCGTATTGTTCTAACAAACGCTTCATTTCTATTATACAGAACCGTTTCTGATTCGGTAATTATAGCAAACGGTTACGCGCAAATTTGAAGAAACCTTAAATAGTTTCGCAAATTTAGGAAAGGTTCCGTACATCTGTTACGAAACTACCCGTGGCTTGGTATTACTCTGTAAGCATTCGCAGGAACTTTCTCAAACCATATATGGTTCAGAACTTTGTTGTATGGTTGAGTGCTAGTTTTCTTAAACCATCGTTGGTTCTACATTCCTGCAAATGGTTCAGAACACATTCTTGCAAACTATCACTGGTTTCCTAATCGTTTTTTATGGTTCAGTGAAACTCCTCCTGAACTGTCCATGCTTTCGAATTCCTTCAAATAGTTCGGTACCGATTTTCCCAAACTATCCATGGTTTGGCTCTGTCACACATGGTTCCGGAGCATTTTCATGAACTATCCATGGTTTTCAATTCTTCCCTCAGGTTCCGTACACGTTTTTCGAAACCAGTCATGGTGTCGAGTTGTGAGACAAGGTTCAGTAGAATTACCACTGAACTATCCATCCTCTCGTGTTGTCACACGTGGCCGAGTAGAAGTTCTCCTAATGACTATAGTGAATATGAATAGTCAACTGAGATAGGTTCTCAGTCATAGTCCATCTCTTATACGGATATAACTAGAGATGATTGTGAGGTCCCTGCTTCGGGTAGGAAATATATACTCTCTACGTATAGTAATATCGCAATACGATATCAATAAAGAGCTCAATAACGATCAAGAAAATCGCTAAATAATGAAAATATGCCTACCGTAATGTATAAAGAAATCAATATAAAGAAGATGATGAGGATGTTTATTGGGGAGGTAGTGAGTGCGAAACAAAGGAAACAGGAATCACACGAAAAATAGAGAGAAACAACTCTATATAAACCAGGCACAGAGAGAGAGAAAACAAAAAACCAAAACAAAGAAAAATGAAATAATATAAAAGAAAAAAGAAGAGAATATAATATATGATGATCACAGTGAGATCGTGAAGATCAAGACAAGATACATTCCACAGGAAAGAAAGAAAATATATGTATAGTGACTACACAATAATGTAGAAAAAGAGAGAAAAAGAAGAGAAGAGAACATATATGTATGTATATGAATACACGTATACATATAAATATACTATAAGTTGGCGTCGTAAAGAAGTGAAGACGCTAACAAGAACTTGATTTACTGTACAAATGGCATATAAAAATGACATGCGTGCCAATATATCGTTAAATACCATGACCGGTTTCGACCTTGCTCAAGGGTCTCATCAGGTGATTAGAAACGAACTACCACGACCGGCCTCTGGCCGTAAAAAAAAGTCTCTCCATAAGTTAATCTGAGCTGTTCTTGTTGTTTTTCTGGGATCGCTACCATTTTTATGAGCCATGATCGAGGATTATCGTGGAGTTTTCGACATGACTTCAGCACGAATTTAGTACCGGGTGAAAGAAGCACCTCATCTTCGGCGCTCTCAGTGATTAGGCGATAGGGTCGCATTGATTGGCTGGTATCCAAATAAATCTTGAAACGGACTGAGACCATATATCGATCCTTGATAGCTCCATTGCCGGAAAAAATATCGGCAACTGAAGCACTAAAAGTGGTCGAAAAGAAACTTCTGATCGATACCACTTCGCCTTTGCAGCGCCTGAGCTTGTCCAATTCAAATACGGTTATTTGCTGACCACGAAAGAGTGTTAACATAACGCTGTCTTCTTCTGATAATGAAGATTGTCTGAGACAATCGATTGTATGACTAATAACAGCTCGAATATGGTAGATCCTTTCAATTGAATCTTGTCGAAGAGTACGATTGATTATTCGATGAAAATCAGAGTCCTGTGTATAATATTTGAGAGCAAATCTAGGTTGATAATTGCGAGAAAATGTTTCAAAGCTTTCTCGTCTTCCATACTGGCCTTGCGACCATAGTGTGCTCAAAGTACTGAATGCTATAGCTTGAGAGCGAGATGAAATAGGAAGACGAGAAAGTATGAAATCACGAACCAAATTGGAATCATTTACAACATATATCTCCACGTAATGTGGAAACAAGTTGCTCTTAAAATGTTTCTGCCAACACCAGAATGTCGGTTCGAACTGACTGCACCAAATAACAATAGCATCATAATGTAAACAAAGACTATTTTCAAAGTGCATTCGACAACACCAAAATATAAGTTCTGACAGATTAAATCTAATGTAAATATCATCACAAAGAGGGGAAAAGCTACTTTCAAAGTGCGCCCGACAATACTCCAAGGAAACTTCAAATCTATCGAGACCAATAATAATAACATCATAGTGTACCAAAAAATCGTAAAATAGCACACGAAAGCAGCACAAGATAACTTCCAATCGATCGAGCATGCTATTAATATTATTCTTGGCCAAAACCAATCTCTTCGCGTAAAATTGTAGGTCGCACAAGATGTCACAGTTGTCGTACGGTTTGTACAAACAGAAAGTTCCATATGGAAATGATTCTCCTGTGTAAGATTGTCGAGTGAGTAGTTCTGGACCAATGGCGGAAGCCCGACAAAGTTGCAAGTAACCGCCATTGGCATTGCGCCAATACTGAGTGATAATGAAAGAACACATTGTGTATTGCCGAGAAAGAGGCCTAAAATAATTACAAAACAATACAAAACCATGAATTATCAAAAGATTTCTAAAAATAAGTCGTCTTCCAATGGCGTTCAGCTTATTCTAGTTATTGGTTGAATGGCAAAACAGGAATTGCAGATTTCTTTAATGATTGTTTAAGTTGAATGTCTGAGTACAATAGTTGCTAGTTTATCTATATATAAAGAAAAAAGTCTATTTGTCTGTTCACTATGCATTCGTTCTCTGAAACATCTGTGGTCATTAAACTTCTCATGATACTTGTCTAGGTACTCAGTAAAGGTCAACATGGGAGAGAGGTTCTGGGTTAAATTTCACTCAGTCTTGATGAAGTGTCACCTTCACGGAATTCGTGGGAAGTTCGGAGAACGTGGGGTGATCTTCAGATTATAACACGTATCGATTTCGAAAGGAGTTGGACTGGTGCTTAATCAGAGTCGCCTCTCTCGACTATACACGGTAGAGCACGTTGTGATGATCGACGCAAAACTTTTAAGTATACCTTCGCTTATATCTTCTGTCGTCCTCATAGAAATCTAATGTACAATATGAAAGTTTCTCTAGGGACCTCGGATATTTCTGTTGGCGTATATCCATAATTGCAAAAGAAACAGCAGAATATCGAGTAAAAGATATAGGAGCAAAGAGGGATGAGAATGTGTGTGTGGGTGAGCCGAGACGGCTTAGTGCGTATGAGTATACAAAATAGTACTCTTATCTCAATATCAGAGAGTGAAACAGACCTCACCTTCGAGGCCTATGGGCCTGTCCACTTTTTCCAAGCTGGTATGATTCGATAAAAGACTGCAAACTGGAAGTGTGCACAGGGCTACGAGTCTATTTTACTACTCAGGACTAATTTGGGTGCTAGAGACAAAAGTCACGATTATCAGACCGGTGGAAGTAACAGATTCTGACAGGCCAACAGGCCCAAAAATGTCCGAACCTCCGACTTTCACTGGTCTGATAATCGTGACTTTTGTCTCTAACACCCAGATTATTTCTGAGTAGTAAAATAGACTCGTAGCTCTGTGCACACTTCCAGTTTGTAGTCTTTTATCGAATTATACCAGCTTGGAAAAAGTGGACAGGTCCACAGGCCTCGAAGGTGAGGCCTGTTTCACTCTCTGCTCAATATCACATTCATCGTTACAACGTCGTTACGTGCTTAAGGACCTAAAGGAGATCTGCAGCTAGTCGAACTTGTTAAACTAAGATAACTTCAGCGACTTGCGGACCTCTTAGATTTACTCACCAGTTGAATAAAAAACTGCTCGTGATTAGGAGCGGCACATTTATTTTATTTTTAAAAGTAACTACTTTTTGATTTATAGATGCCAAACATTTGTCTGGTGCAATTCGTATATGAAAAAAAGAGTATAAAATTTTATTACTAAGTATTCGATAGCGATATCGTTGTTGTGTATGATAATGCTTTTTTTAATCGAGTAAAAGGTAGTTGCTTTTGAAAAGTAACTGTAAAGTGCCACCCCTACTCGAGATTGGCAAGCATTTTTATACATGCAATGAATTTTCCAACTGCTCCATGGAGATGAAAATAGCAATATGTCATATTATGACGATGATGACACTCATACAGCTTGTCCTTTTTCATAACGACTAGTTGGCTTTTTCCCGTGGAAAAAAGGTGTGCACCGGTTCGTTTCTTCTAATTGTATAAGAGAGTCAACTCCACTGTGCGCAAACGATGAAAAGAAAGAGAACAGTCTTCTCAACGCCGAAAAAAAGGCGTTATACGAAAGTAATCTGAAGGGTGTGAGTGAAGATGCATGAGTTTGAAAAAATAGAAGCAGAAAGAATGAAATATTAGAAATCCTTTTGATTTGCCCGCGAGACTATTCATTCAAAATATGAAAAATTTGTTCAAAAAGGTCATCAAATCAGAGTAGAACTAGAACCTACACCTTTCGATAACTAGTCGACTAGTGCGTACGATATATAAGCCCTCGATTCGATTTTTACCATGATTTATTCATTCAGATATGCATTCTAACGCTCATCCCACCGGTTTCAATTAGAACTCGATAAGCACAATCCATTTCAATTATTAAAATGTTGTGCCCCTGTTGCCTTTTCCCTCTATCTAACACCCAAACCACCCAGAACAGTAGTGAAAGTCATTAGAATATCCTCAAAATTTTGGTTAAAAATATTGTTCTGTCATTAAGATATTGAATTTTGAAATCAATCGCCGTTATGCATTTCGTTTTGTAAGAACCGGGAAACACAGACACTTCTTCTATATTCAATATCTCAGCGACACAACAATATTTTTAACCAAAATTTTGAGGATATTCTAATGACGACTGGGACTACTTGTGGCAAAATTTTCAGCTCAAAATTCCTATGTGTGACTTTTTGCTCACCTCATCCCCAACTGTCCAAAATTCAATAAAAACCATATAACTCGGCTCCAAGATCCTAGCGCCCCAAATCCTTTTAGGATTATACTAGTCCCAAATATCCCTATATGCATCCAAAATATCTGCTCAAAAGCGACTGGGCAGTCGGGACGGTTCCCTCGTCAGTTAACTGCAAGCTATACTGATACGTGCTTGTCGAATAAAATAAAATACCGAAAAGCATCTCTTTGCTTTATTATAGAAGCGATGAATAATCATGAGTAGTAGCATTACTCATTTAACGAACATTCCTGTAGAAAAAGTTTCCAACTTACAATCTTGTGAAGGTGAGGGTGAAGGTGTTTGGGTGACAGTGATGGTGAGGGCAAGTCGAGAAGCCGTGACTTCCTCGAGGTTGTGTGGGTATGGGTATTGGTGAAGAGAAAAGTATTATTTACACCTACACCCTCACCCACACCCACACCCTCACCCACACCCACCCTTCGAAAGGAGAAACAAGTTGTTAGCCCTTATAGTTTATTTCGATTAGAGATCTACTTATCAACACACACTAAATGTAAAAGAACATGCTCTATATATATTCGATCACATGGATATTCCCTTGGATATCATCATAAAAATATATCTGTCAGTCATATAAGAAATATTACTAGGCAAAGACCAAAGGAACAACATATGGATCATTCCTTACAAAACGTTGTAAGGAATATTTCATAATGACAGTATTAGGATCTGATCAAGAATCGGATCATAACATAACTTTGTTTCTAAGTTATTCTATGATGCATTTCGTCCTTGCTTGAGGGACTCATCCGGTAGGTTTAGGAGGAATAAATACTCTGCACAAGTTCAAGTAAAGACTCAAAGCGAATGTTTAGTTTTCTTTTGCGGAAAAGTTTTTATTCTTCTTTTCATGCGACTATATTCACTATGAATAGTAATTATTACAATGAAAGAAGAGTTTTTGAAGAGCTTTGAGTATATTTATGGTTTTTGTTCAGAGTGTAGTGGGCTGATTACAACGAATTTTATGTAGAATTGATTTTTGTCGTTGTGTCGAAACCATCGTAGAAGTCGGCAGTAAAGGTAAGGATGGTCTGGATCGAGCATATAATCGCAAATTATATTTTCAATTTGATCGAAAAGTTTGTCTTCCTGCCTGGTTGTTGAACGGGTTGTATGTTCTGGATCAGAACTAGTCTCAATATTCTTTTTATCTGGAATATTAAATTTTTTTCATTTATCTGTTTCATTTTGAGCGCATTGATTTTTCTCCTTTGTAACACTTAAACCAACTGACTTCAACCATTTGTCTATACTGTCATCATTCATAATAATAATATTATCATTTGATGGTTCAGTTATTAAAGATTTTTGAAATATTTCTTTCATCAATTGAATACTTAAAATTCTTCTATACAATCATTCGTTTAAACAAAAAAAACATATTTTTGTTAAGCAACATCTGTTCAAAAAATTTAAAAACATTACTTTCGCTGCCACGAGATTCCACTTCAATCTCATTTCTCAATATCGAATTCTCCACTAAAGGTCGACTTTCTCCTGCTTTTGTACACATAAACATTCGAAAATCTTGTTCAGCATTATAAACTTTCAAGTCAATGCATGATATAAGGTTTTCATTCATGTTATAAGCGAATAAATTACAAACATCTGCAACACTAAGTTCGATATATTCTAATTTACATTCGAGACAACCAAACCATTGTAATCGAATACATGCGAATAGGTCGATTAATTCTAATAAATCATGTTTGTTATCCACTTGTTTATCATTGAAATTTCGATTATAAACACACTTATGTTTGAGAGTACGTATTAAAATAAAGCGGAGAATTTCTTTGACAAATGGATATAATGAATGAGTATTAAAGAAACGAATTCTACTATCACTAAGAATTATATGATGGCTCTCTTTGTCAAACGATGACGAGCTTAATAATACAATATCATCTTCTAATACATTCTCCTGATTAGAGATCATTCTTATCATATTGTTAAACAATTTTTGTATGGCCAATAAGGCTTGTGTAACATTTATCATCATATTCTTCTCTGTCCGATGATATTCAAAATCCAGATAAAACTTGACATTATCTCCACGACTAATATGTTCATATAAAGATCACTTTTTAACTGGAATCTTTTCTATCAATTTGAATAAATCTTCGAAATTGACACAGGTATATTGTCGTTTTTTATTCTCTAATTCAATTGAAATTCGGTATTCATTATATTCTAAGCGACGTTTTGGACAAAAGATAATTTTCCAGTGTATTTCATTGTCCGGCAAAACAGTCTGAACATCATTATTTCTGTATACCATCGTATGTGGATTTCTGAAATCTTTCTTTCGAAACTGTACTACTCTACTAAAAATTGTCGCAAAAACAACAAATAACCAAATAATAACTATAGCGGTTTTTTTAAAAAATGTTCTTATCGCTAAAAAAAAGCGGTATACATTCAATTATGAGTTCATATAAAAACAAAAAACGCAAATTTGATATTGAAGATGTCAATGAACTATTAGAAAAAAATATCGAACTTGCTTCACATATACATGTCGATATTGATAAATGCATCCATCCAACAATATTAAAATGGTTGCAAAATTATGATCAAGTCACAAGTGCATAACTATTAAGTCTGTATTATGCTATTATGACTACAATAGCTCATCTTTCAATGGAAAGCACAATTCTACAATGGAATCAAATCCCTCGATATTTCAATTTATATTCCATCATTCTAGGTTATTCTGGTAGGATGTTTCTCTTAATACTATCATTAATTTAAATTGACTTGATTGGATAGGTGTAACAAAAAGTGGATGCATTCGTGAATTCAGAGAAGCATTAGAAGAATTGTATGACTTTCTCTCTAACAACAACATTGGTAGTCTAACTACTGCACACTCAATGCTTGATAAATTTACAGAAGCTGGGTTTCTTGATCAAGTAAAAACAAATCAATAAACCAATACATTCTATATTCTTTTCTCATAAATATAGTTACAACAATCAACAAATGCCATCATCATTCAAGAAGAAATTGATGTTGCTTTAAAACAAATGAATGTTTTTGATAATGACGCACCGGATTCAAATCGTCAGTTGTTCTGTCAATTACACTAGGGGGAAAGGGCAGACTTGAAGTAGAAAAGTACAGCAAAGTACAAAAGTAGTTCAAAGTATAGGAAAGTAGCTCCAAGTATAGGGAAGTAGCTCAAAGTAGCTAAAAGTACTTGGAAGTATGGCAAAGTACTTACAAATTACGACAAGTTACGTAGAAGTACTTCAGAAGTACGCGAAAGTACTGTAAGTAGCAACAAGTACTTAATATGCACTTTGATATCTAGATTCATATGGAAACAAAATTAGATGACATAGGAAAAACATCGAAGATCGCTATATTCACTTTAAATTGAGAATAGTCTCGAGTAAAACATTAAAAATAGTCGAACAAAGGACGGGTGGACTATGTGTACAGAATGGTATCAAATAAAAGTTTCCATAATGGAAACTTTTATTTGATACCATTTTGTACACAAAGCCTACCCGTCCTTTTTATAGTAAGCCCGACTCCGAATCCAGAAATTTTCCTTTTTCTAGCTCCAGCTTCAATTCCTCTGGAGTTGGAGTCGGATTTAAATTTCGAAGTCAAATTTCGATCTCTAATATTGAGCCATTTTAGGTGCGTAAGTACTTGAAAGTATTGCAATTACTTAAAGTAGCGTAAAGTAGCTTAAAGTAGGTGCAAGTAACGTAAAGTAACTCAAAGTACTTTAAAAGTACTGTGAAGTAGCTGAAATTAGCGCGAAGTACTTAAAAATTACGTCAAAGTACAAAAGTCTGCCCTTTCCCCCTAGCAATTACATGACGGACTCAATATGCGGAAGAAAACGAAAGGTTATCAACAAAAAATAAGAAATGCGCGAATGACCATTTGTGGTAACAGTACTGGTGTTTTACTATCACCAGTATTACAAGACTTTCTTAAACATGTAATGACAGATGGTGTAATCGTACGTTGTCCGTTTCTCGTATTATCAAAGCGTCCATATCTACATCAACACCATATCGATCCAAACCTAACTTTACCATCTGTTACTCAAATGTTAATGACAGTTTTTCTCAAGGGGGAAAAAGCACTTGGTGAGTTTTTGAGTTAAAATGAGTTAAGGTGAGTTAAAGTGAGTTAAGGTGAGTTAAAGTAAGTTAGAGTGAGTTAAAGTGATTTAAGTGAGTTACACTGAGTCAATGTGAGTTAAACTGAGTTCATGTGACTTAAAGTACTGCAACTCACTTACTGTTATGAATAAATTTCCAGGGCCTTGCGCAACTCTGTCCTCGCATTCAGTAAACAGTTGAAGTATAGGATTATATTAGTGAAACTATTGATAAAAGC